GTACCTCCGGCCACGTTCTCTTGTTATATCACAGTACTAAATCCGGGTTTTGCATTTTTGTGTTATTTTTGTTTTACGGGGTGTTATCCATATATTAATCCTCCACCCAGCCCAGTCTCCCATTCTTCTCTGCCATCTTATCCTCCCTTTTGAAAAATGAACTAATGCGAAGAACAGGCGGAGACAGAGTGGTGATACCATTCAAAGGCAGGGAAGAGCCAGGATAGAGATCTCGTTCCAGCTTTCAGGCGCTGGCTTCCCCTTGTGTGCAGGACCTCATGGATGTAAACACCATTCACTTTGTAACCCTCGTGCCTGGTGTACAAAATCATTCCATAAACGTTTGCTCTCTATGGAGATTATGTAGCATTTGGGGAGAAAGCATGTATCCTGTGAGGTTATTAGGTGTATGTCCAAGTGTCGTGTGCTAATCTGCCCCTGCCGTTTGCTTCGGTAATGTGGTATTGTTCCCCCCTCCCCCAACTCCTAACCATGCCCCTGAGGGCAGCAGGGCAGCAGCATAGCAAAGATGTGCTGCAGAATTCCAGAAGCTGCCTGAGCAAGTTAGACATGGGGTAGTTGACCTAGGTCTTGAAGGAGTCCAGAGTGGCAAGAGAAAAGAGAATCAACTGATGCTGAAATGAAGAAGTCTCATGAGTCCCGGAGGCCTGACTGGAAGCTACAGCAGAGATGCTAGAGTGCAGGAAACATCCTCTCTGGTGAATACAAAGGTCTTCAGTGGACAGTTGGTACCAGCTCTGAAAGCCATGACCTCTGTTCCCTGCCACAGTGTGGGGCAGGTGTATTCTTCATCACATCAGAAGGACAGTGCTCGTGTGCCATTCTCGTGAGCATTCTAATAAAGAGATATATTCATATTCCAGTTTAAAGAAAGTGTGGTTCTTGATAGGTATCCAGCTAATACCTGAAATGAAGAACTGTTTCGCATTCTTAGAACAGTGATAGCTTCTCAAACTTTCCACCAAGAGGCTGTGAAAAAGCCATTACCTCTGGTGGTTTTCTAGCAGCTCAAAGTGTCTTGTACTGACATGATCATTGAGGTGTTGCTCTCACTCTACAGAGGGTTTCCCCGCCTCAGCACTAAGGATGTTTTGGGCTGGAAGATTTTTTATTTTTTAACTTTTTATTTATTTTTTTTATTTTATTTTATTTTATTTTTTTTTAATTTTTTTTTCAACGTTTATTTATTTTTGGGACAGAGAGAGACAGAGCATGAACGGGGGAGGGGCAGAGAGAGAGGGAGACACAGAATCGGAAACAGGCTCCAGGCTCCGAGCCATCAGCCCAGAGCCTGACGCGGGGCTCGAACTCCCGGACCGCGAGATCGTGACCTGGCTGAAGTCGGACGCTTAACCGACTGCGCCACCCAGGCGCCCCTATTTTTTAACTTTTTAAAATTTAGGGGCGCCTGGGTGGCTCAGTCGGTTAAGCGGCCGACTTCAGCCCA